CTGTATGGAATTTATTTTTACTGATTTTGGACGAGTTGAATGTAAAATATAGGAAAAGGGGCATATTCACTGGAATTTATTTTAACTGAATCATTCCTTCAACAAAAATAGAAAAAAAAATAATTCCAAACGAAAATAAAGTATTTTAAAGTATAACATTTTAAATACCGTATGTTTTTATATTGTGTTAATTGGTTGAATTTATTGATAGTTGAATACTTTTATGTAAATTTAGATTTTTTTAATTATTATTTCTAATATTGTACAAGGTTGAGATGTGTGTGACACTCTTAATTGAGGGTGTGACGTGGTACGAATATTTTTGTAATGTTGAACAGCAACAAGATATTCAACACTATCTTTGTTATTTCCGTGACCTTTTACTGTAAGGTCTATGGCTGATGAAAATGAAAATAAAAAGCGTCCAGATTTAGAATAGAATTACTAAAATAGAACAGTTTAAAATTCATGTTCAAACCTGAATAACGCCCCCGGCTTAAATTGCATGAATCATTTGAATATCTAAGTTGTCTAGATATAAACTTATCCAACATTAGTCATTAATCTAGCTAATAATCCCACTAAAAGGAAAAAAAATGAATATTCTAAAAAAGATTCCCAGGTTGAGTATGACTACATTACTAAAGGCTATATTATTTGATCACGGGCAGTATTATAAAGACTAATTATATTTGACATTATTAAAGATGACTAATTTTTCTCTCTGAATAATTGTGAATTGTACAGTAAAGACATGACTTCCAAATACTTCATACCCCCCCCCCAAGTTTCCAAGATTATGAAAGAGGAGTCGATTTGTTTTTATTAGATGTCTTTCTAGTTATAGTTGAAAGCAAGCTTCAAGAGTTTCAATGAAAATGATGTAACAATATTTTTATACAAATTACACTATCACTCGAATAAACCCCCAAGAGTCAAAAGTAAAGCTGTGTACTTTTGTAAGAATTAGAATGACACAATAATCTCTTTGTATACTATGAATGTTTACAAATTGAAAAAAGAAAATCAATATCTATTGGAGACAGCACTCAATTATCAATCAAATTGACAGAAAAAGTGATTTTATCAATACAGTATGTTATAACAATCATTACAATAATAAACACATTCTATTTCAAAGAAAAAAATAAGTGGAAATACTATTATGTTTAAATCAGGATGTTGCTTGTGTACGAACTCTGTGCCAATGTCAGAATATGATCTTATATTTGACCGCGGTTACTAGTAACCGTGATTTGACAAAGTAAGGCTTCTGAATAAAATAAGAACTCTTCGAAGAAAGACACAGATGCCGGACGATCGTATGGGGTTTAAGAGCAGTGCTTTTAAATCCGTTATATGTTGGGTATGATATATAAATAACTTTTACATTATGATGGATTAGTTAATTTAAAATAACATTTATGCTCCATTAAGTAATAAATAATTAAATGCATACACCGTAGGCTAATTAATGATCCCCAAGTACCGGTTTTACCTACGGCTTTAACACGTTCAAGGACGTAACCTGATATAGATAATTGAACAGCTATTAGACCACAGTGTTTTGGTATAAAAGACGAAATCCAACATATATTCAAGTCACTTACCGCTACTCTTTGAGTTCACCGAATAAAATTATACAAATGCTGTTTTCAACGTCTTTTTATGTTAAATTTGTCATCTCTATTCAGAATAATGTTGTCCATTTTCACACCACGTCACTGGAACACATCAACTCATGTAAGGAATATTGGTTGTCAAGTGTATTAAATCCCAAAACATAACAGTAATGTTAGAAATACAATTGTTACAACCCTCATTCGACTTAGAATCCAAAACAGGAAATATATAAACTTTTATTTTCCCGAGGAAATATTTTTTTTTT